GGAGCTTGCGTACTCCAAACTCGTCGCCAGCACCTCGGTGGGTAATGCAACCGCGACTAGTACTGTCAGCATCGCGGGCAGTTGAATTTGAAGCACCTCCATACAGCGCTCAAAGACGGGAATAATGAGAAGGCGCACGTACCACATCACCCCATTGTCGGGTGGGGCGTAAAGGGATGTTCGAGTGCTCATATTCCGCCACTGGAAAAGGTATAGCAGAGAAAATCCACCAATGGCCAACTCACCTAGAATCACCCCAATAATAGCAACTTTTGAGCTTGTGGTTCCGACGGGAAACCACAGCGCTACCGTGACGGCAATAAAAGAAAAACCCAACACCGGCGCAAGAATTCGAGCAACATAAATAAGCCCACCGCGGATTCGTGGCCTTCGACAGCATTCAATCACGACAGTGAGAATAAGATGCTCCACGGGTGCCAAGGATTCCAGGGCCGGTAATAAAATCATGGCCGGGTTTAACACAAATAGAGTAAAAACAAGCTGTGGGATGGCCGACGGCCACTGACTAACAAGGAACACAGTCAACGCATCACAAACGCACAAGATGCTCACATACATCGCAGATGGCAAGAGCGGGATGTGCTCTACATACCAGGGAACCACGACAAGAAGATACTCCGGTACAGCACCAAACCGCTGTTTCCAGAAGACTGCCTCCTTCCATGTTTCAGCGGCGGTATTGGGTGTCGTGATGCCAAAATGATACGGAAGAGGAAGGAAATCCCTAAAGTTGTAGGTGAGCCACCGCACAGTCAACGTCACCAAAGCTGCTGCCAATGGCAGTGTCAGTGATTCCGTTTTCGGCATCCCCAGTCCACTCAATGAAAAAAGACAGTTGATATTTGTGGCCTGCTAGCAAAAAGAAGCAAAATGTTACAACAAAGCGTAGAAAGAAAAACAACAACAACAACAACAAAACATAATAATAAAGAAACAAAGGAATATGCACACACAAAAACAGAAAAAGAGATGGAGGTAAAAGAAAGAAGGAACAATAAGTCTTTCTGTACCTCTTCTTTTGAAAGGCAGCTATCTCTTGGTGTGCTCAACAGAGACTAATGCTTCAGAGTAGTCAAAAAAAGCCTTCTATATCTATCACGGAAATTTCATGTGAATTTATATGAGTGAAGAACACCTGCCCGAAATATGTGCCGTGTTTCCTTACAGACAAAAAATATCAGATGTGGAGATACACAAGATGTGAGATGCAGAGGCTTCTAATTGGCAAAAATTTACCCCAGAGAGGGATGCTGAGTATCCTGAATGGTGGCCACCGTCTTCAGCCGGAGCAGGTGGGTGTACACCGTGTGTCGGCGTGGTGGTGGCTTGACAAAGCTCAGAAGACGCTGCTTTTTGCCGTCGCTACCTCCACCACTGGTAGCACGCTTTTTTTCTGCCTTGGTCTTGGCATCCTCCTCGAAGAGAATCGGGACACAGACGTCTGTATTTTTGGCGAGCTCGACAACGGGACCCCAACTCAGTCGTACAAAGTCAAATTCGCGGGGCAATACAAAAAAACGATGAACGTGGGAGCGCACCCAAGTCATCACTTTGGGGTCGCTTGGGTACCCGCTGCCAACGTCAATGCCCAGTCGCTCAATGTGCCTGTCGCGTTCCACCTTCGCCACAACAGAGGCTGCTGCTACGATGGGAAACTTCGTTTCTGCTTTCTTGGCAACCGTTATGCGCAAATGCGGAAAACGACCAGAAAGACGCTGCTGGTAAGATTCTGGTGGGCCCACAGTGTCGATGTAGGCACCACACAACATTCCAGTGGCCTCTAGTGTTGCCTTGGAAATGATAGCGATGGCTGTATCATGACTGAGGGTGTTCAGATTCTTGCCATGGATACCTGTCATGGCGGCAGCAATTTCAGCGGGTGTGACAAAAACGGTGAAGGTGCTGAAGGTCTTTAGCTTCTGGAGCTTACAAAGCACATCCTTCCGCTGGTTTTCACCAAGCAATTTACTGTCATTGACACCGCAGTACTCCAGAAGACGATCATGCTCATGAAGGGCAATCATGGCTCCCGTGTACACCATTGGACCAATCACAGGACCTCTCCCCGCTTCATCGATGCCCAGCACCATGTGGTTCTCTGTGCAATCCATGGCCCGCATGAATTCGGCAACGTCAAATTCAACGCTAGTACGACTCCCCTTTGCCCCACTAAGGGCTTTACTGCTTGCAGAACGTGGCTCTGCCATGCTTTTCCTTCGCAGCTATCCAACTCCCTTTCCCTCCCCCTCCTCTTCTTAAAGACAATAATAATAAAAAAGACAAGTAAGTTTAACTGCAAAAGACGAAGAAGAAAAGCATCCACACGCTGCTCCATCTTAAGCTCGAATAAAGAAGGATTGTGAGACACAACACACACGCACATACACATATATTAAAAAAGCAAACAACAATGTGACAACAATGGGAGGCTCAGAAACAGGAAAAAATTAAGAATTCCGTGACGCATTCTTCTGCATAAAAAAAAAAAAAAAAAAAAAAGATGCTTCCTGGTCAAATAAAAATAAAAACCAACAACAACCAGCAAATACACCAACAAGAAGAACACAATAGGAAATTTCAAGACATACGCAGAAACATCTCGGCTTCTGTGTGGGAGCACCGAGCCCAACTAAGCAGGGCGTGTGGCATTCTCCGCCCTTTTCTCTCCATGTTTCTTATGCACCCTTTTATTCTCATTTCATATGGCACCCGTTTCTTTACCGTATCTCATCTTTTGCTTCGAATGGGTCCGAGCCTCCTTCAAACCTGTGATGCCGCCAAGTCGGCGATTCACACCAAGGAAGGTGTAAAACATATTGGGCAAAATCGTCTCGCATCGCACAGACCTGTAGGAGACAAGAAGCGACACTGCAATGCCAAGAAGAAACACCGACTCCGCTCCACGATCGGTCTGCAGCTTGATGGCACTCTCGTTGGGGTCGGCAGGGTTGTGGTAGACCACCAGCTGCGTTCCCGCACCGAGAAGGGCCGGGTTTGACACCATCTCCTCCTTGTGGATGCCACCGCTGCGGAATCGATCACCCACATACTCTTTTCCTCCCACAACAAAGCGATACTGCACATGACTCGAGCCCCCGCGCTTCATGACAATATTGTGATCAAATATAGTGGCTACTGCAGGCTTCCACGTCAGAGAACGTCTATAGCGCTCCTCCGCCTCAGCGATCCATCGCAATTGCAGGTAGGCCAAATATGAATAAATGGCGCAGAAGCTGACACGAAAGGTACTAAGGTACCACGGCATCCCTCCAAGAATCCCCTCCCCCTCCACCTTCACTATCACCCGGTTTTCCTTTTCCTTCAGGAGAACCCTCTTATCACCGTCCAGCAACGGCTCGCTCTCAAATTTGGAGCGCGGAAAAGTATATATACATACAGTCCCATTTGTAATGCAAAAAAAAAAGAAAAAAAAAAGTGAAATGGAGAAAAAGATATATATCCGCATATATGCATGCATGTAAAGGGGTTTCTGGCAAGGCAACTCCTGAAACTCACTGGTGAATTCATTTCCACGTTCATATTTGTAGCAAACATCACCCCATATTAGAGACTTTGGGTCTTACTACCATAAACCTCCTAATTTTCCGCTTCTACATTTCCACCAGTTTCACATTCCCTCATTGACAGAATCATTCAATTGCTCACCTCTCTTTTTGTAAATTCATCCGTTTCATCCACAGGAGCACAGACATAACTCGTTCTCTTCACCTTTCTTAGTATTCATTTGTGTGCGCAGGAACCTTATTGACTGTCTCGATGCCGCCCGCACCATCAGGTTTCTGGGCCACGTATCCAGGTGAAGAATAGCGCTCATACTTCACCCGACGGCTCTCTTTCATGGCGCTGTGAAGAGCCTCTGTGCAAACGTTAAGGTACTTCAAGTAGCTAATACCTTGCTCCCTCCAATTGCCATTCAACAGAGTGAAGCTGCGTCGCATCATTTTTTTTTCTTCTGGCTTAAAAAAAAAAAAAAAACAAACAAAAAAAAAAAGAAAGGAAAACTAAAATAAATAAATTTTAAAGGTAAGGTGTACAAAAGGGAATTTTCACCATGAATGCCTGCTTAATTTCCCTTTTCGTCCACTTCGGCTGTTTGCTTTATGTACACATCCATCAGTCATTACTCTCTCATTTCGTCCACACGCACAAAATCAAATAATCTGCCTTTTCACGCCGACTTTTTTTTTTTTTTTTTGCTTTCCTTTTTTTGATGCTTGGATTATTTGGACTTTTGGCACTGTACCCCCATCACATCCAATTTTCTTTTTTTACTTTTCTTGGAATGATATACAATATTACTATTTCTGGGTTGTAGCCATCAATAGAAATGGCCCCACGAAGTTCCGCGCCCCAAATAAAAGCTTTTTTTCTTTCCTTTGTGGAGTTCCCGGCAAAAATAATAAGGCGTCACCGCAAGTGGAGGTGAAAGAGCCACTGGGCCTCGTCATCCGCGCCCACGTTGGAACAGCGTAATTCCTCGTCGTACTTTGCGCGTTCCTCTGGATCACACAGAACCTCATTTGCTTTCGTCATCACCTTGAATAGTTCTACCTCCTCTGGTGTTTGGTCGCGACCCACACGATCGGGATGAAGCTCCAGTGCCTTTTGCTTGTACCTCTGCCGTATCTGCTCCTCTGTGGCGTCGCGTGTGACACCTAAAATATCGTAGTAATTCATTATTTTCAACAAACGTGCCTTTACTGCGTTGTTGGAGGAGCCATGGCTAAGGTCTTCCAGCGACGGATCGTCCCGCACATCTGCCCGTCGTCCCTTGCTTTGATTTTCAAACGCCTCCAGGAGGGAATGTTCATCTGAGTACCGGACGCGCTCCGCCGGTTTAGAGAAGTCAAGGAGGTCCGTGAGCGGCTTTTCTTCCCGCTTCATCGAAGAGGACGGCTGTAAACTGGGGGTATGGGAAGTAAAGAATGCATCAAGAGGATCATTGGATCTACCAGCCATTTTGTCGACGGGAGAGGCCTTACTTTTCTGGCCCTCAGCAGAGACCCAAATCCACTGCTCTTCCGGTTCTTGGCATTCTGTTTTTGAACCAGCCTGCACGCTGCCGACACCGGCACTAGCTGACGGCATCACCGCCCCTCCATTTGACGCAACAGGAAACCCAAACAACTCACCAAAGTTCACCTTTGCGCACGAACCACTTGTGCCCTCGCCGTTGTTGACGGGTCTACCTTTAAGCACCTGTCCTTTTCCGCCCAAAGAAGGTGGGAGGCATTCGTCAATGTCTTCTAGTCCCATTGCTCCTCCCTTGACGATGCGACCACCGGGACGCACCGCAACAGGCGCCTCCTACGCCGAATTGCCACTTACACGCACACACTGGTGCGCAAGCAAAACAAACAAACAAAAGTCGCTCAAAAAGAAAAAAAGAAAAAAAAAAAAAAAAGAAAAAAACAACAACATACAGACGTCAATAAAAGCCCGCATTCAATTTCCAAGTGAGCAACGCCACAGCAGAGAAAAAGTAGTAAAAAAAAAAAAAAAGGCAGAAAGCGCCTATCAGAGACATGTCAGAAGCATCAAATAAAATAAAATAAGTCAAGAGGAAGTCGCAATGCCGATGCCAAAATTACTTTGCCGCGTACGTCAGGTGGCACTTGCCGCAGTACTTGCGATCCTTGTGCTGAGCCATGAAGACTCCAGCTCCGCAGACCGGATTGGGGCACTCGTCCCGGGTGCGCTCCACCTTGAAGGAGCCGTCGTCGTTTTCCGTCACCTTGAAGTACTTGAGAGCCCGCATCTTCTCCAGCTTATGGCGGTGGATCGGCTTCTTAGGCTTCGTGAAGACCTTCTTCTTCTTCTTTTTCCCCTTACCGCCCTCAACGGGAAGCATCACCTGGATGGTGCTCTCGCGCTGCAGGCCGTAATCGGCAAGGGTGGCCTCGTCGCAGAGGCACTGGCCGCCGTAGAAGAGAGTGCCATCGCAGACACCGGCCTTTGACTTGAGGCTGGCGACAGTCTCCTGCGCCGAGGCCTGAATGGCGCTGGTCTTGCCGGCCGCCGACCTAACAAAAATCTGCATCCTTCCTTCTGTGCGGAGAATAAAGAAAGGAGAGAGAGAGAGAGAGAGAGAAGATAAGCGAGCATAAACAATACAACACGGATGCTCCAAAGAAAAAAGCACAACATTTTTTTCACCATTTTGATTAGCACCTACTGGTTCAGTCGGCGCGACGTTCCACCACCGGACAGAAGCTAACACCATCTTTAGTACTCGTAGTCAATTCAAACCTCACTTCTCAAACAAATTGAAACGTTATAGCTGGCTCCCTGTCGCTGCACACGCATCCCGCTCCTCTTCAAGTAAGAAAGAGAAAGCACGCGAGAGAGAAACAATAATAAGAAAGGCAGAAACAACAAAACAAGAAGAAAAATAATGATAATAAGAAAAAAAATATAGCCAATCAGTTTTTTGCACCGGACACCGATGGCTTCTTCTTATCCTTTTCAAAAGTTGACTCACCCATGATAAAATCCGTGAAACTTAAACCAGCTTCATTGAGTCCCCTTCTTATATAAGGTATCACATCTTTGGCGTACAACTGATCGCTGAGCCACACCTCTAGACGCACTAACTCAGGGGACTCTTGATTGGGACGTGAAGAAAGACGTACCACGTCACACACCGTTTTACCGTTACAAACGTCATAAGTCAGTCCTTCCCCTAGAACGCTGCTCAGTACGAAATCCATCCCCTTCTCTGCAACTGACGCCTTGTAAAGATCCACAAGAACCCGTGTACCATTGGGAAAGGCTTCGTAGCTTGCATCAACATTGTTGCGAGCAAAAATGAATGTGCTACCGTTTCCCAGTTGGTGCAACTTTGGTAACGAGTTTATGGTCGACCAAAACTCCTCCACAGTGCGGATGTAGTCAAGTGGCTGCTGGAGTGCCTGTTTGGCTTTGTTCCAGTCCCCCTTGAAATCATACTTCACGGTGTCTGGAGTAAGCTGGGGAATGTAGCTGAGAAACCACGGGTCTTTGAGGGCGTGAGCCGTTTCCTTCATTCTCCGTACCCTTGACAATTGTGGGAGTGGACCCGCCACCTTGCCCTTGATCTATCACTCTCCTGTTGGCGGAGCCAATAAATAAATGCTTACAGCACTTAAAGCAACAAAGAAAAATAAATAAATAAATAAAAAGTGGCGTTATTAAATCCCCTTTGGAAATCAAAATTCGTGAGCGGTGGCAACAAAACAGCCCCGCCCTACCACACACCCTCCAAAGAAGGAAAAAAAAAAAAAAAAAAAAAAAGCAAACCAAACCAAACCAAAGGGGAAATCAATGCAGGGTCACACCAGGCCGGAACATATCTGGCGCCAAGAAAGGAAAAACAACAACAAATGCTCAGGTATACAGCAGACAAATAGATAAGGTGTACGTATACATCATCTACGTATCGATATAACATGTACGCGCGCGTGCAGAAAAAATTCCGCTAAAAATCCAAAACAGACAGGAAAAAAATCTTTGAAAAAAAAAAATAAAAAAAAAAAAAAAAAAACGCAAACAAATAAATAAATAAAATAAAATAAAAATAAAAATAAAAAGGCTTTTTTCTACGCTAATACACATTCAAAAATAATATATTCTCACAAATAAGAGAAAGTGATGAACTATTGATTTCACAACAACAACAAATAAAATAAATAATAATATTTGCTGTCGCAATAATTCAAAGAAGAAAACATATATAAATAAATATATATATTCAAAGCACGACTCTTTAAACGCACAGGGTCATAAGAGTAATCGCGTCTTTTTCTTTTTCTTTTTTTTCTTTTATTGTTGTTTAGTTCTTGTTTTTGTTTGTTTGTTTGTTATAATATTATTCCCACTTCCCTCTTCAGAATACCACTCCAAAGAAAATTGCCAGGCCGATATATCCAAAGTACGTCCAAGAAGTGGGCACCAATGTTGGAGAGAAACACACACACACACAAAAAAAAAAAAAAAAAAAAAAAAAAAAAAAAAAGAAAACGCCCGTTACCTTTATTGACACCTAGAAACAAAATACGCCTCAAAAGCGTTTATGCGGATGAATTAATAAACCATTTGTATGTATACATGAACATGTAGGCAACATGGGCTCTGGGAGGAGATAAAAGTGGCGTGAGAGTCTCAAATTAACTCCATACCCAAAACATACAAATTAACATTTAATTCCATCAAAAGGAAAAAAAAAAAAAAAAAAAAAAAGAAAAGAAAGAAAGAAATAAGTGTGTCGCATCATAAACACTTTCGTCCATCCTTTTTTTTTTCTTTTTTTTTTTTTTTTCCTCTCGTTCTTTTCTCTTTTTCTCTCCCCCCTCTCTTTCCCTCTTTGAAACTCTAATCAGTGTGTATGAGGAGAATTCAGTGAAAAGCAACTCCCCCTCCCCCTTCAACAACAACAAAAAGGAGAAGTAGAAGAAAAACAACAACCAAAAAAACAAAACAAAACAAAAACAAAATAAGTAAATAAAGCTCAAATTGCGTCAGTAAAATCAACAACAACAAAAAAGTAATAATAATAATAATAAAAGGTGTGAGAAGTGGGGGGATCAATTGCCTACATATCAATAACTTGCTTAGAACTCTCTTCCTCAACAAACACACACACACAACATCAACAACAACAAATACGGAACGAAAGCAACAAATCTGTGCCTTCATAAACTTGAATCTTTCACGTTACCGTCTTCAGAGTTGGGTCCGGAGGAACCCAAACGGCCGTTGCTGTTACTTTTTTTCTCTTCCTGTGAAAGTCCCTCTTCGTCCATGTCATCAAATCTGTCCGGAATGCCATCTGAAGCAACGGCTTGGAAAACTGTCACCCCTTTGAACGCATTAAGCGGATCGGTTGAACCAGCACGACTACCATTCGACCGCCATGCCTTACTGGGACCTCCGGCGAAATCAGGGATAGCTTCCTCGGGCATAAACTGCTTCAAGTACTTTACTCCATCGCCAGGCGGAACAAAATTAACTTTTCTATTAGTTTCCGCATCAATAAAAAGACGCATCAACTTCCATACCAAGGTGAAAACTTTTGGACAGTTTACAAGGAACAGTCGCCCCAAATGCTCAGGATAATTCGCCTGGTCCACCGAGGCTATAGTTCGCCCAAAAGAAATAAAAGAACGGCTCATGCTCACGCCAACGTTGGTAAGATCAACAATGTAACAAACACGTTTGTATTTGTAATTGCTTTCCTTCATGATCTTTTTTCCCATTTCCATGACACAAGCGTGCCAACGCATAATAACAGCAGGACTATAACGTTCCATGTACTCATTAGCTGTTAACCTTCCTGCATTACAAGGGCGCTCACAATATATAATGTTGTTGTCGTAGTCGCATGCACTACCGTAACCACACGGGTAATCTTCACACATGGAATCTGGAAAGTACTCGTCATGAGACGGCTTGAATTTCTCCAGCCACTCAAGATGATTGTCAAGCATGGTATATACTGCTTGCATGTCAAATTTGCGTGCGATGCAAAACTTTACCAGTTCAAAGTCATGCCAATCTGCAACTTTATTCCCATAGCGTTGCCTAAGATCGGCGATAGCTGTAGGGTTTACTTCTAGATAAACCATTTTAGGCTTTAAAAATCCTCCCTTTCCAGGGTCGCATGTAAAGTAACGCTTTTCCCCCCATTTTCCATCATTGCGCATTGATGACGGTGTGGCTTCATCAAACTCAATACCAACATATTTTCCTTTTTCAACAAGTGGATTGCTTTTCTTATCAACCTCGCCAAACCACTTGACGGTGCCAGTGAGACCATATCGATCTTGCACTCGCATGCCAACCTTCACCAACTGTTTATCGAGTGGAGCAAACATGATCATTGATTTCCCTTATTTTTCCTTAAAGCAACTCAATAGCCAGTCTTATTTAAAATATCACAAAAAAGACAACAATAACAACAAAAAGAATAAAAAGCCCAATTACTTGAGCATAAATAAGGCATGAAATATGCAAGCTTAATACGGCAAGGCATATCTCTCCATCTTTTTTCTTTTCCATTCACCACCGCCAATGCAAAATGATCCAAATAAAACAAATCAGAAACGCCCTAAATGTGATGAGTTGTGTTTCCATAAAGCAGGAACACAAATTCAGGAATATTCGTTAATCTTTCTTTTTTTGCATTCTTTTCTTGTTCGCCGTTTCTTCTTTTCCGTTTTTTCTTTTCCCAAACTAACCCAATATTTCCTTTCTTTCTAACCTTCTCCTCGACACAGAATCCTTCTTCATTTTCCTCCCACTACAAAACAAAAAAAAAAAAAAAAAAAAAAGAAAAAAAAAAGCTCAAGATCATTCCCCAGCGAGTTTATAAAGTTTACGGCCAATTTCCTTGTTGCGCTCGTCCATGCGAATTTGTGCTTTGTACTGTTGCATGGGCCTGTACTCTTTAAATTGCATCCCAAAGTCACCTTGCCCCTTTGTAAGTCGCCGAAGATCGGAGATGAAACCAAACATGGTGTCCAGCGCCGTCTCTCCACGAATTACTGCATCTGCTCCATTGATACTTGTTTCCGTAACAATACCTTCACGTTTTGAAAATTCTGTTGTCACCTCCGTCATGCACTGCGCCGGAACAACAATTTCCACATCCATGTATGGCTCTACCAATGTAGGCTTGAGTTTTGGTAATAGTGTTTCCCACAATTCTTGTGTTGCATTTTTAAACGCCATATCTGTTGAATCCACCTCATGCATAGCGCCACCACCAAGATGAAAGTGTACACCCCATACCGGTGCCCCCATCAATTCGCCCTTTACAAAGATTTTACGCTCCAGTTGCTTGATAACCGACTTCTGAAGGGATTCGCGAACATCACCATTGGAGCAACTGACAGTGACCTTGTTTTTTACGCCTTTCTCTATTGACATATCAATAGGAAAAACATCGATGTATCCTTTTAATTGTGCCCACTGTCCTGCGCCACCACTTTGTCGTTTGAAAACAAAATCAAACTCCTTTCGTTCCGTGATTACCTCTCGATAGTTTACCGTCGGTTTCCCAAGTTCAACCTCCAGACCATGTTCACGTTTCAAGCGCTCCACATAAATATCAAGATGCAGCTCTCCCATACCTTCCAAAATGTCTTCGTTGGTTTCAGAGTTGCGATAAAAAAAAAATGTGGGATCCTCGCGCATAAATGCAGCCATACGGTCACGCAATCGATTCAGATCCCGATCATCCTTCGCCTTAATAGAAGATGAAATGACACGCGGAGGGATGTACATATCTTCGCAAGAAATTAGAAGTCCGCTTTTTGGACCCGCTCTCATAATCGTGTCCCCTGATGATGCATCAATTTCTCCTTGAATGGCACAAATATCTCCTGCCTTAACCTCGTCCACCTGCTCAGCGGAATCAGCATGCATTCTGACAAGCTTTGGGGGTAAAAACGTCTTACCACTTCGAACGTTTAAAAGGTGTTCCTTCCTCATTTTCCCTTGATACACCCGAACATAATTTGAAAGTCCTGTTTTCTTGGTTTCTTCCAGCTTAAACAAAAGCGCCACAAGTGGTTTTTCGTCGTCAGTCAATAAGTCAACCTTTTCTTCCTTAACATTGGAAATATTTCCCTCTTCATCTTTCACCTTTTTCAGCAAATAACCCTTATTTTCCTTTTCCATAGGAGACGGAAGATACCGACAAATTGCGTCTAGAAGGAGTTGTACACCTTTGTTTCGATAGGCTGAACCCAACAACACAGGAATAAACTTATTGGCAATTGTCGCACGTCGAATCGCCGCATGTATCATCTCCGTAGTTGGCTCTTTATCA